GCTGCACATGTTTGAGTTCTTGGAGGTAAATATCTCAAGCTTGCGTTTTTCTTTGCCTGTCTGCTTAGAGGTAAGTTTGGTTTGTTCTTCAAAGCTTATGCATTCTGTTGATGTTTATAAACCTATTGTCAATGAATTACTATTCAATAAGTATGTGTTTCTTTTCAAACCATCTAAATTCAATTGGTAGAAATGTCAAGAAGAGTGCTTAGTGAGGAGACAACACAGAATGGAGGAAATTCTCACGAACAAGGAAGCATGTCGACTCAGAAAGGAAGTTCCCGATAGGAAAAGAGAAGAAACGAACCAATGACATCATCCCAGGCCAATTGCTTCTCTCGAGATAGTAGTGAGGAAGGAAAATTGTTTGTCTATCAATGTAGTTCCAAGTCTTCGATATCAAGGTAATTGTCATCAAGAGCAATGCATACTTAAATTCAAGTTTCAAATATGGCCAGAGATGTTTGCTTGACCATGCTTTCAGATGATGAGTTTTCTGTCAAACATCTCCAGCCATATTTGAAAGTTCAATTGAAGTCTTAGAGCAAGGATCCAAGAGGAGAAAGCTATGGTTTTCAAGCCAATCTCAGTTTCACCAAGAACTTTGTTCTTCCAGGTATGTAATACATAGTGATGGACTGAGTTCTTCCTCACGCCCTACATCTTAATTCAGTCAGTAAGAGTTAAATCTAGGATTATACCCTTAGTTTCGAGAATCTCTTATATGAGTCGAGTTATTATTTATGAATTCTAAATTCTTGATTATGAGTTTGTCATGAACCTGGATGGGACAGACTTTTGATAATCATCATTTGGGTAAAGGATTGTTTGATCTGGGCGGGAATGTCATGACCTGAATAAATGAGCTAAGTGAAGAATAAAGAAACGACGAATAGAATTATAATACCTGGACGCATGAGATTTAATTGGAGTTTATGAAGCTGAAGGGCTGTGATTGCACGTGAGCATCAGCATCCTATAACTAAGTCCCGGAAAGAGCAAAGAGGGGCATCGATCAGTTGGGTATTTTCCTCACCTTCCTCAATTCTCTCTAAACTATTCTTCCTCTTCTTCTCCTATCCCTAAATTCTCCTCTTTCTTCTTCTGTTACATGTTACAAGTTTATCTCATCTATGGAGATTCCGTATTTCAGTTATTTCCATTTCATATTAGTAATTTCTATTCTGTAATTGAGTTCAGTTTTGCTTAATATAAACCCGAGAAAATTCCCCAAAAAAACTGTTAAGAGTTTGATTTGCTTAGTTTAAATTCTGAGTTTAATTAGTTTGATCATAACAATTGGTATATGATCCTTGGTTCTGCGACCTGTGCGTGAAGATTAACAATGAACAATCCACTTAACAAACAGGGCGAGATTCTTGAGAGATTGACCACTGGCGGCAGAAAACTCAATGAAGCAGAGGTGGGCATTAAGGGAACACTAGAATTGATCCTAGAATGATTGAACGCCATAGCAAGGAGGTCAACACCAGTACCAAATCTGAACTCTGATGAAACTGAACGTAGTGTATGCAAAGTCAATTGCAAGTGCAACATTTGTATCGGAATCGATGCTACATCTTTGCGAAGTATAATATGTTGTGTATGCAACATTGATTTTGAGTGTACAATTTGTATCAAAACTGATCTTACATCTCCAGGAAGTGCAGGAGGTTGCTTACACAGCATTGATTGTGTGTGCGACATTCGTATTGGAAGTGATACATCTCTAGGAGGTGAAGGCCTGAACTGCGATGAGACAGAGATAATTTGGCCTCACGACTTTCATATACTTGACGATCCACAGGTAAAACTCGATTCTCTTATCTTTGAGTGTACTCGAGAGCTTGATCTGTCCAGTGTATGCCTTAATACATTACTTGAATATGTGGAAATTAAAAAAACTAGAGTTGCTTCTACTTGTTTGATAAAATGTCCAGAAGGGATCATGTCCAAGTAGTACATGTATTCGTAGGAATTAAGAGCAAGTTCTCGAATTAATTGGAAATGGACTGGTTGTTCCCATATGGGATCCAGGGATAAGTCTGAAGACCCTGAAGTTAACTGGTCACACAAGTAATGTACGAGAAATTTTGATGGATATGACTAGAATGTTTTGTTTGCATAGATCTTCTGATAACATCAATCGAATGTGGGATACGGGATGGCAGTGGTTTATGCATTCCCCTGTTGTGCATATTGATTCTATATGTTCAGTTGCTACCATTCCAACATATAGCCATGTTTACAGTGGTATAAGAAGTCTCTCCTTACACGTAACAACATGGTCCAGTAAGAAGATTATGTTATTTTGGAGCTCTACTTTGCCATTAACCTTGCATGATGACTCTAAAAGGATAGCCACAATTTATTTGTCTGTACATTATTTGTCAGTTGATGGGCGTACAATTTGGAAAGCTTCTCAAAGAAGAGGTTCGGTCATGGCTAGAAACTTGTCGACTGCTAGAGTAAAGGCTTCCTTGGAAGAACTACATGTGTGATAATTCTAGTTCTATCTGTCTTTCAAAAAACTCTATGCATCATTCTCTTGCTAAGCACATTGATATTAAGCATCATTTTATTTGTGATCATGTTCTTAATGGAGACATTGAAATATCTTTTATTAGCACAAAAATTTCAACTGATTGATATTTTTACGAAACCTCCTTTAGAAGAAAGATTTTGCACTCCGAAAATCTTTAAACATCATTGAAAATCCCTTAAATTGTTTAAGTTCTTTCGTGTATTGAATGTTTTCCTTTTTCAATTTTTTTCTCACGCCTGGTATATTGGGTTTCTTACTTTTAATTACGTTCCTTCTGAATGTGACTCTTTATTTACGCAACTCTCTGTTTCTTTATTTTTTATGCAAACCTCCATTCTTCTAAGGCAGGAAAAATTGAATCTTTAGTACTTGGTAAGCGCATCTTTTTTGACTGCAAAAAATTTGACTCTATCTTTGATATCTCTTGTTCTGGTATCACGGATCCTCCCAAAAATTGTTGGCCTTCTGAATGCGATGTCTCTTTCGAACAGGCCAAACATGAACTCGTTATTTACCCTTCTGCTACCATTCCTTCTCATCTAGGTCCCAAATATCTATCTTTTGAGACTCGTGGTATTGCCCATATTGTTGCTACTACCCTCCTTCCTAGAGCTGGTTCTCACTCTATGTTCACTCAGCGTGACACTCTGCTCACATACTGTCTTGTTTCTCGGATAAAATTTCATCTCTTCTCGTTTATCCTCTCAGCCATGGTGTATGTTATTTCTTAACCCTCCAGTCTACCCTTTGGTATGCTCATAACTCGCATACTGGAATCTCACTTCATGTGTCTTGGTGACTTCCCTCCTATTTTCATCAAACAATGCTACAATTCTCGTACCTGTGTTAGCATGGGATACTCTCGTAATGATTCCTCTTGGGTTCTTAAGAATGATTCAGAAGATGTTGCTGCAAAGAATCTGAAGTCAAAACCCTCATTTCCCACGTCTGTATCCTCTGCAAAACTTAATGCTGCTCTGGAGAATCTTTGCTTATATGAATGCAAAATTGGATGCTATGTCTATCACTTTCACTCAGGTAAGCGACCTTATGACCATGATGACTGCCATGGGGAACAGGTGGACTCTCTTAAAGATCTCCTACTTGTTGCTCACCTCAAGATAGATAATATGAAGGATGTAACTAAGAAAACAGGTGCAGATGTGGCTCGCATATGCTAAGGATCGATCAGATTGTCAAAGAGGCTATCAAGATTGCGACTAAGGTTCAGACTGGCTCCAAAGCCATTTCCACTTCTCTTTCCTCCAAGTTTGAGGAGATGTCCACCGTTATTGTCAACACACTTAACTACTTCTTGCGTCCTCGTTAATGTGTTTGCTCTTATGTTTCAAACTCCTGCTCTCTGTTTTGTTTTGCTACTCTGTTTTGTAATAGGCTGTGTTGCCCTTCTTAAAACTGCTGTGTGTTTTCTGCTTTTGTTGGATGCTTTCTTCTTTCCTTTTTGCTGATGCCAAAGGGGGAGAATGAATACTACTGATGTTGGTTTGATTGCTTAATGTTTGTTGCTTTAGATTCATCAATCAAGGAAGATGACAATCAGCAAGAATTCAATAAAGAGATCAAGGACAATCAAAAAGGAAATCGAAGATTAGCCTTAACATTATTCTTGGAAAATAAGGATCTCCATTGCCTTCTTTTCCTAGGATCAAATCTCTTGGGTTGCTATCTCTTCATTTAGAAGATTCAAGTCTTAACACTTTAAAAGCTGCGTCTGTGAAAGAAGAAGGTGTACAACGAGTCTGAATCGTCCTACATTATCTACTCTATTTTTAACAAGCATTGTATTACTTAGTTTCTACTGTTTAAACAAAAAAGAGAGAAGAAAAAAATATTGTTGGCAAGGCTTTGTATCAAAAGAAAAAGATGAGTGTAGACATAGGAACTATACTCAAACTTGTACTCACTACAAAGATTCTAAAGGCTAGAAGAGAACACCCTTGCAACCCAAGCGGACTGGACGTAAGATCCACATTGGATCCCAACCAGTATAAAGTTCTGCACTTTCAAATCTGTTTATTTATTCCTGGAAACAACAGTTGACTAGTTGGGAAGCTACGAGATAATCAGTATCTTTGCCTGTTCTATAATCACTTTTGTTCTTTGATATTATATTATTCCTTCATAAAACATCAATAGAAGAAATCACACCAACTTCTTCTTCACAAAAAATAAAATAAAATAGAAGAAGGCATGATGCGAGCATATTGAAAATTGATTCAAGAAGGTGATCCATGTCTTATGAGTAAAGCATACACAACAAAATGAAAAATAAAATATTCATACAATCATTTCATATGCAAAAGAACAAAAGTTGAAGATTGTTTGAGTTCTACAATAGATCAATAAAAACTATTGAACAACTAGGAATGTTTGAGTTGAGCTTTCAAAAAGGGCATGTAATCTAGCAAGTTGTAGGATCTGACACTCTGATTTACTAGCTTAATTTCAGCTCAAAATCATCAAGTTGTAGAAATTCATTAATCCAATCATCGCACTCGTTCAAAGAAGAATCTTTTGAACTTGGTAAAGCTACAAAAGGAACTTCTGGTGGTTGAGGTATGTCTGCTCCTTGAAATGATTCATTGAAGTTACTTGAATTCAACACATTGGAATGTTGTTCGTCGTTGAAGTTCGTTGAAGGAACTGGTTGAACATTCGAAGCTTGTCGTTTTTGGAATCGGTATTTCTACATTAGATGAAAAATATTAGGAAAAATTGACAAAACCTTGAATCATAAATGTTTTTTTCATACTTGGATACCTTTAGACGGTAGGTGAGACATCCCATAGTCAAATCCTGCACACACATCTTCTCCAGCACATTTTTAGGACCAGCTAAATCAACATGGTAAGACAATAATAAGAATTTAATAGTAAAATTGTGAACATTCAGAAAATGTCAACTTAGGATTTTCCTTAACCAACATTCTTATTTTTTCTACTTCTCTCTGCCGGAATAAAAACAAAATCTTTGAACACTTACCTTTGTCTCCTAGCTCGCGAACAACCTTATCTAATTTCTTATCAAGCTCTGTTGTCCATTTTAGGTTTCGTCTTTTCTTTTCTGGTCTTTCTGTACTTATTTTCGAAAGCAAAGAATGATCCTCCTCTTTTTCTGAAGGACCACTATATTTAACTTGTGCCTCCTCATTAGTACTTCTGAATCTCTTAGACCTTTTTGCCTCATCTTTTTCTATTAAAGGCCCAACCTCTTGATCTTGATAAGTCTTAGAGCAATTCGCTATGCTTTTTCCCTTTCTGTCTTGCATTTTCGTAGGACAAGATGTGTTGTCCATTACATAAACTTGATTAGCGTTGTAGTGTTGTGATTTCTCATTTGCCTTTTTATTGTGCCACTTCACATGCTTCCATACATCCTTGAGTTTCAATGATGAAATGAGCGACTTCTTAAAAATGAAGCATATCCCTTGTGTTGGTGCATCTTTTATCATTTCGATCGTCACCTCTGGAGACATCACTAAACCAAAAATAAAAAATCAAGAACAAAATATTAATTAAATGAGGTATCTAAAATTGTCGAGGAAGTTAGATGTTCAAATTTATAAACACTACTTTGTAAGGAACTTATATAAATAAAGAATTTGACCAAATATATATGTAAATAGAAACTACAAGTAACACTAATGTGTTTAGAAGTCAATCTTTTAATATTATTATAGTAGATAAAGTTTAATAATGTTGTGTTATATTAACACATTTAAATACACTTTTGAATTAATGAATAGCACAGACTAAATTACGTAAAATAATTAAGATTTTGAGGAGATGATCTTACAAATAATTGGTTTGTCTTTGATGAGTTGAGTGGACTTGATGAATTCAAGGTAGTCCATTTCAAGCATGTTGGCATCCACCATGACCAAGTCGAATTGGTCGATATGTTCCCGGAGAATAAATAAAGCTATAGTTGCTTGTTCGATCGCAGTTACTATAAACAAAAATCAAGCTTAGAAAATATCACAAAAAAATATATGTATGTTGTGGATACTTTCATAATAATCAGTGATACACCTTCCCTTTCCTTTATGTTATTACACAGATAAAGGTAGTATGAATTGACTAATAATATTACATTAGAAGTAAAGAAAGAAATATTTGATTGATGCTAGGTGACTAATATCATTAAAGTATTTGATAAGTTAATTAATTTAATCTTGTTGCCTAAGAATCCAACTGATTCTTTTCCAATTAAAGTACAACTCAGCTTTGATAAATTTGACGATTAAGTGAATATAGTTATCGATAACCTTTTACACTTGACAATAAAATTTATTTAGATATTTAAACTAAATATGCTTCGATTGAGCGTTTAAACAAATGATTAAATGTTCTTGTTTGACAATTCAAATTAAAATTTTAGAAAAATCTTATGTTCTCAAACATCCATTACGTAGATTATTTAATGACATAAATTAACTAGTCATATCCATTTGTTATGTTCTCAAGCATCATAAACAAAAATTTCAACCATCAATTTATTAAAACAACAACAAATCTAACAATCTTATTAAGCATTGTTGTAATTTATTCATCCATACCTGCACTTAGTCATACATGACTGAAACACATGTTAAAATTTACTAAAAGTTTTAGTTATGTGCATCTCATTTTTTTTTTGCCAATAATAAAATAATTTTCTTCTTCGAATTTCAACACTCAAATCTACCCAAAAAAAATTAAATTCGATCTATAAGTTTCATGTATCTTATAAACAAGCTTCAATAAGCAATTTTACAGAAATTCACTTCTTTAACTATAGACTATAAGTAGAGAATTTACCTAGAAGATCCAACAAAAACTAAGGGGGAAAGGCTTAACACATATGAGAGAAAACTAAAAGAGACATAAAATTATTGTACCTTTTAAAGGAATGTTCTTCAAGAATTGCTGCTATATTTGATAAAGAAGATTTATCAGGATCAACCAAGAGAATTCTGAGGCCAACATAGGCCGAAGGAACATCTACATTAGGAATTATCTCACAATCCATCTCTTAGCCTTTGAAGATTTTGAGAGAAAAGAAGAAGAAGAAGAGATTTTTGAATTTTTGTTCTACCACCTTATACAAAATGAAGGATAAAATTTGGCCAAATAGTTAAATATAGAGGGAGAATATTAGATTTTGAAAATCTTCCTTTATAGCAAGTCAATCTACCTTTATAGCAAGTCAATAACTAATGTAGTCAAAATCTTAGGGAGATGTAATTAAGCAAGATGTTGATAATCTATCAATTTGAGTTTAAAATAATTTAGTCTCGACTATTTTCGCGATACAGACAATATTTATCACTTTGTCCCTCCGTTTCAATTTTTGAATTTTACTTTAATTTTTAGTCCATTCAAAAAAAATTGTCACTTTCTTTATTTGGCAACTCCTTAATTCTAACTTTTTACAAGTCATGTTTAAAATCACAAGATTAAAGGACATTTTGGTACATTCTACACATATTTAGTTTAAGATCACAAGATTCAAAAATTTTCTTTACTTTCTTAATTTTTTTATCAAATTAAAACAGAAAAACAAATTGAAATGGCGAGATTAATTAGTTGATAATATCTTTTTGGTCATGCTAGCAAGTTCACTTCAAATAACATGTTTTTAGAATTTTTTTGGTCTCGTGTGAGATTTATATGCTAATATAATAAGTATAGAACTTCTAGTACTTCTTATTTTTGTTTTACTATACTGGTAGGTGATGCACTTTAATAAAAAGACAACATGGTCATTTAAGATTAAATTCATACAATCGATCTACTTTCTTACTATCTCCTCCATCGTTGTTATGTAAGAGGAAAAGAGCAAAAAACTTACTTTTAGGTAGTTGCCTAAGCGCTAAGAAGTGAGCATCATGCTACTCATACAATATGCTTAACACATGCAAGTCGAATCTTGGTTTTCGGAGTTCAAAAGAGAAGGAGAAGAAACGGGGTAGAGAAATTGGTCAACCAGGCTTATGACCTGAAGATTGCTTTAGATTAGATGTAGTACTAATAGTAGTAGTTGTTGTATTGTTTTCCTAGTAGTATATGTTGGGTTTTAAAGGTGTGAACAGGAAATGAAGGGTTGTGACTCTCCTGAAGAGTTGTGACTATCCGAAGGGTTGTGAGCTTTATGAAAGGTTGTGTCCTTTCTAAAGGATTGTGACCGTTTGAAAGGTTATGCCTTTTCTCAAGTGTTGTGACCTTTCTAAATGATTGTCTTCTTTCTGAAAGGTTGTCTTCTTTCCAAAGGGTTGTGACCTTTACCCTTTGTTGGCTATAAATAGAGAGATTTTCTCTCATTTTTCTG